ATAGTGGTGTCAGATTTAAGGAAGGCTTTTCTGAGCAGAAAGAAGACATGGAGTCCCATATGAAACCTTTTGCAGAGAAGTGTAGCTCTTCCTGACAGAACTGCCCCATTCCAAAAGCTTCACCATCAGCTTTGACAACAAGTATCTGTTTAGAGCTGAAGGCCATCACCACAAATTCAGTTCTTTTCTAAGAAAGAGCCTATATGGATATAAGCTAGTTATTACTGAACGTTCATTACAGTTCTGGGAGGGAGAGGTTATTCTATATAGCAACTTAGTATTGTCAGTGGATAACTATAAATCCACTTTAATCTTTTTTCCCCTCTGACTAATACTAATAGCTCAGCTGGCTTCAAAACATTCCATTCTCACAAAGACCAGTTTGGATTTGCCAAATTACGGATCAAATATGCATGATTCAGAACTTTTGTTTTAAATTCAGAAGAAAACAGGCTGTTCTGCTCTGACCTCAGGAGAAAATCTGACCAATTCAGACAATGAATTGTCCTGAAGAATTTGGGGAGAATGGAAAAAACGAGAGAGAGAAAATAATACAATTTGGCTCAGCAATTCTACATATTCTCTTTTTGTGCAACCCCAGCTTTTACAGAAGTTGTTCTAACTGACAATTAAGATGTAATTGAAATAATTGAAGAAATGTTAATTAGCATTCTTTGCCTTATGTTAATATGTTGACTGAGCGGGAAGGTGTTAGTTAATGAATTATACTCTATATTGAAAATCGAGAGAGGGCAGCAGATTTTTCTGATAACAGATTTAGTCAGTAAATATAATGAAATATTTTGCATTTTATTTCATCACAATGCTTCATCTGTAGCTCAGTTAATGTTACTGGAACCTTGCCGTTAAGGAATTCTCCATATACAAATTGAATTGAAAACTCAAAGAAGGCTGAAGTTTCCTGAAATAAGTCAACTGGATTTATGTTAAAGAAAATATATTTAGAATGGGAAAACTAATTAATTAAAATGCACAGTTATTCCTTTTTAAGTGGATAGTCTGTTCAATAGATTCTATTGAATTGCAGCCATATTATTATATTATATTATATTATATTATATTATATTATATTATTATATTATATTATATTATATTATATTATATTATATTATT